GTGATCTTGAGAAAAAAGAAAGAGGAATCATGCTACCTAGTATCAAACTGTACTTCACTGCCATAGTAATCAAAACAGCATGGTATTGGCATAAAAATAGACATATTGGTAAATCAAACAGAATAGAGAGCCCAGGAATAAACCTATGTCTATAGTCAATATTTGACAGAGGAGGCTCAAATATACAATGGGCTAAAGACAGGTTACTCTATAAATGGTGCTGGGAAAATAGGACAGATGCATGTGAAAATATGAAGCTAGACCACCTTCTTATGCCACACACAAAAATAAAGTGTATTAAAGACTTAAATGTTAGACTCAAAACCATAAAAATCCAAGAAGAAAACATAGTAAAATCTTGGGCTTTTCTTGTAGCAACATTTTTTTTTTTTCTGATATATTGCCTCAGGCAAGAGAAACAAAAGAAAAACAATGGGACTAACTCAAACTAAAAAGTTTATGCACAGCAAAGGAAGCCATCAACAAATGATAAGTCAACTCACTGGATGGGAGAACATATTTGCCAGTATGTCTGATAAGGCATTAATACACAAAACTTAGAAGTTTTAAAATTTAACTCTTCCCCCCCACCCCCCCGAAACCAAACAATCCAATTCAAAAACGGACAAAGGATCTGAACAGATACTTCTCCACAGAGGACATGCAAGTGGTCTATAAACATATGAAAAGATGCTCAACGTCATTAATTATTAGAAAAATGCAAATGAAAATAGTGAGATATCACCTCACAACTGTCATGATGGCTAACATCATCAATCTTTCAGCTTCAAAAAATCTTCAGTTAGATTTTAAAAACTGAGCTTAAAAATATTTGATTAGATTTGTAAAAGAGTTTATTTTCATTTGTTATTTCTTTGCTCTATTATATTAAAAAAATTATCACCTAAGGATATGCTTATTGATTTTGGAGAGAAAAGAAAGGAGACGGACAGAGAGGGAAAGACATCTATAAGATGTCTTCCATACACGCCTCAAACAGGGATGGAACCCGCAACCCAGGACCTGGGATCAAACCCACAGCTTTTTGGTGTTTGAGGCAACGCTCCAACCAGCTGAACCACTCAGCTTGGGCCTCTATTGCATTTTGAAAGTGTAACTAAAGGTTAGAGTGTTTGCGTCTCATGAACTAATCTACAGTTTGGTTACTGGGTATAGTTATGTTGTCTTGAAATGGTAGGATGTTAATATAATTACTAAATATTTATGATGACAGTTAATTAAAAGTTTTCATATTCTTGAGTAGTCTCCCCAACTGAAGAGGAAATGTGTTTGGAAATGGGATCCAGTACTTGATCTCATGTTCACCTGAATTAGGTGTGTGTAATATTATTTAAAGTAAGAAATATATTTATTCTTTCTCATGTTCTCTGGCACAGAGCTCCTAAAACCCGTGGAATATCCTAAGTGGTAAGTAAGAGTGATAAAGGTGGCATGTTCAACCACACCTTAGTTTATGTTGATGAGGTGACTTTTAGAAAGCCTCTAGGGATGCAGGCTGGTTGCCAGGGGATCAACCTTGATTAGAGGCTTGCAACTTTCAGTCCTACTCCCACTTGAGAGTGGCTGTAGGTCGAATCAATGGCCAGTGATGCAAAGGGACTGGATTATTAAAGCCTCTTCCCACATACCTTGCTATATGTATCTTTTCAGCCTTGTCTGTGCCTGTGTCCTTTTATAATAAACTGGTAAACTAGGAAGTAAACGTTTTCCTGAGTTCTTTAAATGGCTCTAGCAAGTTGATCAAGCCCAAGGATGGGATTTTGGGAACCTCTGATTTATAGTTAATTGATTAGAAGCACAGGTGACAAGCTGGACTTTTGATGGACATCTGAAGGGGGAGAGCAGTCTTGTAGGACTGAGTCTTTAACCTGTGAATTCTGATGCTATCTCTAGGTAGAAAGTGTCAAAATTGAGTTGAAGTGTAGGACAGTCGCTGATGACATAGAATGGCTTGATGTGTGAAAACCACATTCTGGTGTTTAGTGTCATGTGGTGAGTGTTGCCAGTAGAGGAGACGCTCAGGCAAGGGTGTGTTTCTTTGATAGTGTGTGTATGCCTTTTTTTTTCTTTGCTGATGACTATTTCACTGGGTGCAATTAAGACAATATTTGCTTTACTGAAAACTCAGAAAACTTTGCTACACACACTTGCACTTCTGGGGTTGGCCACTAGGTGTCATGAATGCTACAGGAGCCCTAAGGGTTACCCCGGGCTGCTAGAAATCGGACATTGTAAGCTCATAGACCTTCACATATTTCACTGTTTCCACATGATAGGTGCCAGAAGAACCTGATACAGTGTGATATATAGAAGCAAGGTACAACTGGAATAATGAAATTTCAAAAATAAGCCTTTTTAAAGGAGGGTTGTAATAGTTCTATTGGGTATTGTAAATGCTTCAGGTGCACTTGATACCGCTGTTATGTTCCTGGCTCTCTCTTTTTTATGGAAAGATGGATTGAACTTCAATTTAAGAATATTCTGTAATCCCTCTCAGGACATACTGTAACAGCTGGTATTTTTGCGTTGTAGAAAATCGATTCCATACAACAGTCAGTGATAATTATGGCTGGGTTCTGACAAATTCCAATGCATTTTCAATAAATTTAGCCAAAAAACCCATGATTACTACAATAATTTAGCTCAATTTGAAACTTAAACCGAGCAACTCTGCTTTGTTTTACAAAATCTTGAACATTTTAGTGGTAGGGATTATATCAAATCATTTATTTTTTATTATACTTATATATGTTCTGAGAAGATAATTACATTGTAGCATATATTTCCTAAACAATATGACTTTGGAAAAATTTAACCTTGAGTGTTCATTATGAAATAAAAAATGAGAAATGCTAAGGCTTTACGTATATGGGATATATGTACAGCAGCAATATCAACTCAGAAGAATGTTTTGATATGGAATGTAGGATTGTCTTAAATAGAATGTTTGATATAAGCATAAGTTTGCTTATTATATGGTGTTTGTGGTTTACAAAAGTGAAACATTGTATGTTTTCTAAGGGGTGAAGAAAGTAGTTTGCATGGCGTATGTATTTCTGTAGTTATGTAGTCTCTACCTTAAAAATTAGAATTTTTCTCATGGCATAAAGAGCTTAAATACATACAGACAGACACTCATAGTAATTACCTACCCATATACACACATTGTCCTAATGGTAGAAATGTGTGTGCGTATACTTTAAAATTCTAACCATCTTCTCCTTTTTTCTTAGCAGCAAAACAAAATTTTACTAATTAAATGCATTCTTTAAATTATTTATGGTCTGTTTTGGACCTTCTTTGTGTTTAAATTTAGGAATACTTTTATGTAGTTGAATCTTAATATGGATTGCGAGGATAATTTAAAAAGCAGAGTTGCCTTTTAAAATTATTGGAGGAAAACAGCTTCAGAAGTGGCCATTCATTAAACTTTGGTTTGTCTTTTCCTTATTTTTTTATTTCTAGCTTAGTGATTTATATTTTTATTTGGTATTTAAAATAACTGCCCTCATTTTAATTAACTCCTCTTCATATGGATTTACAAGCATATTTTAATTCTGTCATCTTTTGTAATAATAGGAAACAAAATTCAAGACATTGCACCAGATAGTCTGGTCTAAGGTAGTCTATTTGATGTGAATTTTTTCCTATGAACATTCACTTTGATAATTAAAAAGCTAATTTAGAAGGCTTTAATAGAATTTTACAGGTTGGACTTTTTCCAGTGAAATTTGGCAAGCTCATTTATTATTCTGTAATACGAATCATCAATTTAAGGTTTTAGAATCGAAATAAGGCAGTTTTTTGGGTGTTTACAATGTCTGTTTTTTCTGTTAATACATGTTAAAATATGCTTTTAAATTACTGAATTTGCCTAACGGAGAACTGGGGAAAATGCATTAAAAAATGACCTTAAACACATTGTTTGGTTCTTCTTTGATTTCTAAAAAATATAAATACAGTGTACTTTCCGTTATTGGGCAGCAATTGTCTAAATTTAAACCACATGGTCTTCTAGGTGTCAGGACAATGTAAATTTTAATCTTGCTCCTTTCTTTTATGTTTACACTTTGTAATCTCATTACCTGTATTAACTGCAGTCTTCATCATAGCCAGCATTTATTGTTTGTTTGCCATGTGCCAGATACTGTGCTGTGTGCCTTATCGTAATTAATTATTGAACTGTTTTAAATTGCTGTTATCTTCATTTGCTTGCAAGGAGTTTAAGACCTAGTAAGATTAAATAACTTGTCCCAGATCACAGAGTTAGCAGGATTAGAGATTAGATCAAAATAGAGTAATTGCTCTTAGCTACTATACAGTAGTACCTTTACTATTTATTTTGGGATAAACAGTTAAAATCGTTATTGGAAAATATTGATATTTTCCAAGATATATCAAAGCTTAGTTTTTACTAAAAGAATTACTTTTGTCTATTAGCTTTGATTGTTAGGTTTACTTTAGATTATTACCACTGCTGTAAATCTATAATAATATCTTACTTCAATTCTAGTAGTCTTTAAAAGGTTATTTGCAGTTTTTAGTTAGAGAACTTTGCAGTTGTCATATTAGGATGAACTCTTTAAAAATTACAACTAGTCATAAGTTGTCGACAATTTGTAGTATCTGTCCTACATTAGAAGTATATCTTAAAATTATGATTAACAGAGGGAAGGAATTTTCAAATGGCATTGGCTTACAAAAGCTTCTTTAAGTTCTCCATCTATGCATTTAGCAGTCCTCAAACTAACAGCAAAAATCTTTTAAGGAAGCCTCAATACATCCATGAAGAACTTTCATATTTTTAATTAGAAATATCACATCAGAATGAAAAACTCTCACACTGAATATTTGTATGTAGCATGTAGAAAAAATTCAGAAGAATTGTGATCTCTCTGGTAGTGTGTTGGCTATGAATTAGTTACAATTGAGTAATCTTTCTTTTTGTTATTATTTTAAACTGTTCTTTTTCTTTGTAGAAACGGCCTGTGCGATATATATAAATCTTGGTAGACAGCGTGGCTGCAGGCCGTTGAGCTGGAATTCTCTGCGGCTTTCTGAGCGGAGAGCATTTGTTTGGAGCCTGGAGTCCAGCCTGCAGGCTGCATCATGCCAGCTTTGTCAACAGGATCCGGTAGTGACACAGGTATGTGAACCTGAGAGGGGCACTTTCCTTCCATCCTTACTTAAATCTTGTTCACAGTGAAAAACAGCATTGCTTTAAGCAAGTGCAAACAGGTCATGCTTATTGTCCTGCTACCAAGATGAGGGGCATAGAATCAGTGGATCCTCCCAAGACAAAAGTTATCAAAGGGTATTGACTGCTGCTTCCAGGTAGTGGTGGCTTATGCTGATCCTCTTGTACTGTCTTTTTGAATAATGTTATTTATTGACATTTCTTTAAAAAACATTAAGTATTTTAAACACAGAAAAGGGTGGTAAAAAAGGAGTCTCCCCTTACCTGTGGAGGATACATTCCAAGACCCCCGGGGGACGCCTGAAACTGCAGACAAAACCCTTATCTGTACTGTGTTTTTCCCTATACCACATCCCTATGATAAAGTTCAATTCATAAACTAGGCATAGTAAGAGATGGACAGCAATTACTACTAATAAAATAGAACATATGCTATAATAAAAGTTAGGCGAATGTGGCACTGTTAAGTAAAATAAGGGTGAGTGGACCCAAGCACTGTGAGACGGTGGCATCAGTCTGACAGCCGAGAGGGCGGCTCAGTGACTGACGGGCAGGGAGTGTGTGCAGCGTGGAGACGCCCAGTGATTCACGTCCGGGGCAGGACAGAGAGGGGTGGCTTGAGATTTCATCACGATACTCAGAACAGTGGGCACTTTAAAACGAATGAATTGTTTATTTCTGGAATTTTCCATTCAGTATTTTTGGACTGTGGTTGACTGCGGAAAGTGAAACCACAGATGGGGGCCACTACTGTATGGTGATATTCATATTCACCTTCTCTCAGATTTATTAACAGATACGAGGTGTTTGCCATACTTACTTTAGACTTCTCACTTTTTCCTTTCAGAAATAAAACATTATCATGACCCCATTCTTGCATTTTCTTTCTTTCTGGGGCCAGAGGTAAAAGCTATTCTGAAGTTGAAGTCTGTCATTAAGGGATTCAGTTAAAACAGACATATTTCACTTTATGTTTTATTTTTATTTTTTTATTTTTTGTTACAGTATTTCACTTTATTATCAGTTGTAAGTTGTAAGACTTACTGATACTTAGGATAAAGATCACCCAAAAAGGGAAAAAAAATACGTTTGTGAGTATGTGTGAAATCCCTATACTTCTGTAAGTATGTATGAGGTGGGGTGGGGGTGGTCTGTTCCCCTTCGAAGTCCTATTCTGGGATTCCCCAGAATCAGCTCCCTTAAAAAAAAATGCAGGTTTTTGGACCCTTCCTAGAACTATTAAAACAGAATGTGAGTTGGTTGGTGAACTATTTCATGCATTGTAAAGACCCCTCAAAAGAAGTGTGGTGATTGTGGTGGGGAGGTGGGTGGAGGTGGAAGAGGGTACGGGGGGATAAATGGTAATTGAACAAAATACAACAACGATGACAAAAACCCTAAGGAAAGCTGGAAGTATACTTACGAAATGCTAACTGTCATTGTCCTAGATTATAGGACTATGGGTAACCCAATTTTTAAATTTATGTTAAATTTTCTATATTTTCCACAAAAAATAATGATTTTGTGACAAAAAAAAACCCCAAAAGAAGTAGTTGAATAGAGTGTGACTAAAAAGAAAGTTCTGTGTATTGCACTGATCATACTGAATTTGGTTCTGTTAATACCATTCTAAAACCAGATGAAATATTCAGGCTGGACAGTTACTGGTATCATAATATTTATAAAGCTGAGTCACAAATGTGATTTTGTGTTGTATTATGTTACATTGGCATTTTCATTTGCAGTGTTTGCAATATCATTCTTTGCTATTTAAAGCATTTACACTTATATTTTGGCAAGTTTTGTTTCATCTTTGTCCATCAAGAATGATTTTTTTTCCTACTGTGATTTACACTGAGGATTAGCTTTTTTTTTTTTTTAAGGAAGTGATTTAGATTTTTAAGTTACATAAAAATCTTTTTTCTCAAGATATAACTTAGAAGCCAGCTTCTTTGGAAAAAATTTTTTTTTATATAGTCCCACATTGTGTTGTACTATATAAAATGAATGATTTAACTTTCCATAGTGGTTTGGGAAATTATAGATAAAATTTATTTGAATCATAAATTTACTACAGTTGTGTAATGAATTTAAGTTTTATGACTTGGTATTCACCAAAAATGCCTTAGTTTAATTGAATGCAAAATAGCGTTGCTTACATCTAACTCAGGGAATGATTAAGGTGGAGTATTTACAGTTTATAAGGCAGTTTAATTGTCAGTCATGAAAAATAGCATAGGCTATTTAGAATTTGAAAAGGACTTTTCCACACATAGCTGGTTCAGTTGGTGCAAATCTCAGATGCCTATGTGACTCACCCACGGCTTTGTGATATTTTTGACCCTATGTTCCAACAAGGTTTGAGTCAGGCAGAAAAGGCATGCCAGTTCCAAGAGTCACTGCATTTAGGAAATCTCCAAAGTACGGTGTACCCATCAGATGGTGATGGTTTCCTTGTAGTTTCTTGCAGACCAGATGCTGTTTAGCAGTCAGGGGTCATATATACCTTAAGCACTGTTGCTTAGCAATGTTGCTGCTGCTGTTCTCATTACCAGGCCTCCAGGGAAACAGCGATAGAAAACGTAACTCAAGGGCAGATGCGGCTGCAGCAGAAGGGCACCCAACTAACAGTGTACACACTACTCCTGTGGGAAAATACCCTTTGCGTAAAACTTCTGCCACTTCTTCCTCTTCTTCTTTGTCCTTACTTCACTAAGCAAAACAATTTTTAATTACACAAGGAACACATAAAAACATTCTCATTGTCAAAGATGGCTAGATAAAAAAGGTTAGAATTCTTACTACCCACCCTTCCACTAGTCTCGTTTTCTGTCTTAGTGTGAGGGGCATCCTTCAAGGGTTTTCTGTACATTGGATGCGGAGCTATGCATGCATATAAGTGCCTTTTTTATGCCTTTTTAAATTTTTAAGGCACAGATTCTATCATACTCTACGGATTCTTCTATAACTTTCTTTCTATACCAAGTCATGTATCTTGGAGAGGTATTTCATAGGAGCGGTGTGTATATATATCGATGTATCTGTCTCTACATACATCTGTACATTTGTATGTGTGCATCGTTCTCTTAAGCTTATGTGTTATTTTCCATAGTATCACAGTATAGTGAACCAGACTGCTGTTGATGAAAACTCTGGTTTTGATCCTTTTGTAATATTTTGGGAGAAAAGATGTGCACATTTAATGGATATTGTCAAATTATTTTTCACAGTGGTTAAACTACTTACTCCATGGGCACTGCATTAAATATTCTTTCTCCCACATTCTTGTCAAATATTCAATACCATCCATTTTTATAATTTCTTTTTTTTTTTTACCAATCTGATGGGAGAAAATGTGGTGTCTTAAGTGTTAAATGTGCCGTTTATTTAATGGCCACTTATTTCTTTGTGAATTGTATATTTATATCCTTTCCCCATTTTTCTATTGCTTTATCATTTATTTGCAGAATTTTCCTATTTGTATTGTATATATTAATCCTTTGGGTCATTTTAGTTTGTACACCATTACTTATAGGCAGTCATTTGTTCTTTATTGTTATTATTGTTGTTGTTACTATTATTTATCTTTATCTGAGGACACGCTTATTGATTTTTAGAGAGAGAAGAGGGTGGGGAGGAGAGAAATAGAAAGAAAGGGAAAAGAGAGATGCGAGAAACATCAATCAGTTTGCCTCTCAAATGCATCCTGAGGACCAAACCCTCAACCCAGGCATGTGCACTAACCTGGAATTAAACCCCTGACTTTTCATTTCATGGGACAGTGCTCCAACCAACCAAGCCACACTGGCCAGGGCCTTTTTATCTTTTTTAAATAGTGTCATTTCTTTTGTAGAAGTCAAAACTTTTATGCAGAGAAAATCTTTTCTGTATGGTAGTTAATGCTTTGTATCTTTTGCTGAGGATGGCCTTTCTTTTCATGATGATATTCAGTAAGGATTTTCTTCTAATAATTTTAAAATTTTGGATTTTCACATTTGGAATTTTAGTCCAGCTGTAATTTGTATGTGAAGTGAGGCAGTAATGTAATTACCCACGTGAAGAGCCAATAGTCCCAGCATCACTTATTCAAAAGTCTACCCTTTTGACATATATTTGTAATATTCCCACTTTTATACACCAGCAGTGTATATGTTCTGGGTTTTCATTCTTGATTATTGTGATATGTTGATCTTATTTTTAAAAAAATTATTGGGCTTTATTTTTGAGTAGTTTTAGACTTACAGAAAGATTATGGAGAAGTACAAAGAGTTCTAGTATACCTTACATCTTCTCTCCCTGATTATTAACATCTTAATTAGCTTGTTACATTCATTTCAAGTAATGAATCAATATTGACACATTGTTATTAACTAAAATCTGTACTTTATTCAGGTTTTCTTAGTTTTCCCTAATACCCCTTTTCTGTTCCAGGATCTCATATTACATTTAGTTGTCATTGTCTCACTAGGTTCCTGTTGGCTGTGAAAGTTTCTGAAACATCCCTTGTTTTTGATGACCTTGATAGTTTCCAGGAGTTCTGGTTAGGTGTGTTGTAGAATTTCCCTCTATTAGAATTTGTCCGATTTAAGTACCATTGCCAACTTCCAATAAAGATGGAGGCCTAGATAAACCTGGGTCACCTCCTCACACAAGTACACCAAAATTACAACTAAAATAGAGAAGAACCATCACTCACAGTCATCAGAAATCGAGTTGAATGGAAGTCTACAACTATGGAATTTAAAAAACCACATCCATTCAGACTGGTAGCAGGGGCACAGATGTGGAATGGGCTGGTCCCTCACCCATGTGTGGTGCATTAGAATTTGGGAGGTATATCTTGGGAGCGAGGAGTTGCCCAGCTCCACACCAGGCCCCCCCAGCCTAGGTTTTCAGTGCCAGGAATACAAATCTCTATAACTTCAGGCTGCAAAAATCAGCAGGATTGA